TGAACTCTAATCGAGCTTTGGCTGCACGAATTTTCTCCCTACATTGGCAAACAGCATCTCTGTAGTCCGCTCGTGTCACCTGTCCTTGCTTCCAATGTCCGTACACTTTCCTTTTCCGCCTAAGCTCTAGAAGATGATCCCTGTTCAGCCAAGCCAGCCTTCTGCCCCGCTTGCTTGACTTCTGACACTTTGGAATTGCCTGCTCCTGCGCTCTTATGAGATGGCTCTTAAAAAGTGACCAGCATTCCTGGACCCCAGTACCTTCAAAAGCAGATTCCCAGGGGACCTTACTAACTAGCTCCTTCAGCAGCCTGAAGTCCGCTCTCCCCGTATCCAGGGTCGAAGTTTTGCTGGCAGTTTTTCTCCTATCATCGCCAACGATTTGAAACTCAACTACTTCATGGTCACTGTGACCAAGACAGCCACCAATCACCACTTTGCCCACAAGTCCCTCTCTGTTTACAGACAAGAAATCTAGGAGGGCACCTTTCCTAGTCGGCTCCCTGCACCAAGAAGTTATCATCTTCAGTGTGCTTCAGGAATTTCCTGGACCTGTTTGTGTCCACTTATGATGTTCCCAGTTGATGTCTGGGAAGTTAAAATCACCCATAAGGACAAGGGCAGCTGATCTAGAGTTATCCCTTAATTCCTTGTAGAATAATTCATTGGTGTCATTGTCCTGGCTGGGTGCTCGATAGTAGACTCCCACAACAACATCCGCTTTATTTGTTTTCCCCTTCATCCTTACCCAGAGGCGCTCTGGGTACCGTGTCATCGCCAACTGCAAGTGCCATACAGTCCAACCCCTCCCTTGCATACAGCACTACCCCCCTGCCTCGCCTGCCCTGCCTATCCCTCCTGAAGAGCCTGTACCCATCCATCATGGCACTGCTGTATTTGTCTTGCTCAGGTTGCTTTAGCCTACTCCAGACCAAAACCAACCAAAAGAAAACTGCTTGAAGAGCAGAACTTAACCTAAATTATTTTGGGATAGAGATGATATTGTTTTCATGTATGCTGCAATGCTGCCTTTCAGCCTGGTGAGAAGCTGTTAGTCATATGTGAAGTGATATGATTCACCTTTCTTGCAAAACACTTCTTTCTTTTTCATGGCCTTTCTTGATAGCAAGAAGCATATGCAGCAGAGCACTTTTTGATCAGTTTTCTTGTGGTTTGGTTTTTGTGAGGAGTTGTTTGTTTGTTTGTTTGTTTGGTTTTTTCCCAAATGAACTGCTTTATAAGAGACAGTAAGATCATGAAATACAACTTTGTCTTACAAAAATTTAAATATGAGTTATCAGACATAGTCTGAATCTTCAGACTATAGACTTATTTCAGTGGTGTGGGATTGGCCTGTCCTTAAAGCTCCAAAAAACAAGATCACAATCTTCAGGTATAGGATTGCTTATTACTACAGTGATTTACAACAGCTGAGCTCAGCAGCATGGGTCACAACCACAACAAATCTGTTCTTTAGTCTCTTCAGTGATTTTTTTTTTCCTTTAAATAATTGGCAGAATTTTTTGAGTGTTCAGTCAGCCATGTAGTTTAAAAAGAGGAATCTGCATTGACATATATGCTATTTTTCACGGTTTCTGGAATACTTTTGAATGGGAGTGATTAGATGCACTGATGTTTGGGTATGCTGAAAAGCATAGGTATTTTTTGGTTTTCTAAAGAGATGATTCACTAATCTGAGATGACTGTTTATGAAAATATTGAACAAATATTTGTACTCTATTTAATTTTCAGATAGTGAAGTAATTTCTTTATCTTCATTATTCTTTTTTTTTCAGAAGTTTTCAGAAGTATTTGCACAACTACCCAAATTGTTTCACAAAACCCAAATGTTTCCCAAAATAAAAGCTATTAAATGTCCAGTAACTTATGAAGTTATGTTTCTTTATCAGATAATTTTTTTGTGCAGAATCATTGATAGTTAAAAGTATTGAATGAACATCATTAGCTTAAATGTGTTTCTGATTTTAGGGTTTTTAGTACTTTTATACACATGACATAAGGATATCTGATGCTTTGCATGTTTTTGCATTTTACAACTTTAAAAACCACCAATGCAAAAAATACAAATGAGAAGGCTCCAAAAGAAGGCTCTGAGTCCTAAAATTGTCTTAAGTTATTTTCAATTGTATTTCAGATTGATTAATTAGATCAAATATTCAAAATGGTATGTATAATTATTGCTCTGACGTTATGGAAAAGGTAGTTTTGTTATCATGCATTTGTGAAAGTGGTAGATTCTTCAAATGCTGATCCTAAAGAGATGGCTGAAAATGTTGTAATAAGTTATTCTAACTGGTCTTCTGTTGTTGTTTAGGCAAACACAATCCTTCCTCATTCTCACAGCCATCACCTGCACTGCTTACCAACGCTAATGAATATGGCAGCATCTTTTGACATCATGAAAGAGAAAAGACTGTAAGAATTCAAAGTTACACTTAAAAGCGAAAATATGTACATCTCCTTTTCCCCCTGCAGTTGAGTGAAAGCCTACATTATGAGTTTTCTGATGGGTGAAACCACTGCTTTCTTTATTTAAAAGAAAAATAGAATATAGAAATGCTCTGTGACACTTACTAGGGAAATAGTTTCCAGTGCATCATTCCAAAAGTGTGATCTATTTACAGTAAGAATTTAGAAATTCATAAATTTGGAAAGAAAGTTTTGATAGTAGATTTCAGAACATTTTTGCATAGATTGCAAGATTTTTACACAGAATTTTTCTTAAATGAACTTCAAGACACTGTTTGACCAAGTAACATGTGAGACATGTTCTGTGTGTTTGACCTCTCCATTGTTTCAGACTTCTTTTTTGTCATTTTTGGCATTTTGGCAATTAAGCTTTCAAAACTAAAAAAGTCTGTACCAATTTTTTTCTTCTGTTGTTTTTTATCAGTAGCTAATTACATAGTAATAGACCAAATCAGGGAGTCATTATTAGTGTGAGCAAGAGCAAAAAGTGTAATACTGGCATGGAGCTGGTGTGGTGTTTTGTTTTTTTTTTTTTAACCTTTTTTTTCCAGAAGAAAATGATGATTGTAACAATAGTAATCATAGAATCGTTCAGGTTGGAAAAGACCTTTAAGATCATCAAGTCCAACTGTTAACCTAGCACTGCCAAGTCCACTTTCTGGTGCTTTTGTTTAAAGTTTGCACTGATAATTTTTTCAGTTCCTTTCAGTTCCATTTAAATACAAGAATGTATGAAGAGAAATTTTAAATTTAGTGCAGTATTCTGCAGTGGCATGTAGTTAAGCAGTATTAGGGAACTGTTTGGCAGTCATGGTGCCAATCAAATGGGGTATATTTAAGCATCTGACTCAAAAGAAAAAATGCTTATAGAAGCTTTTTATTCCTTTGAACTAGAAATACCTGAATTTTGAGATTTTAATTTGAGTGTGTTGGTTTTTTTTGTTTTGTGGTTTTTTTTCCTAATAGTAAATTATAGGAAATGTTTTTGTTAATTACTCTTGCCATTCCTGATCTGGTTTGTCAGATCAGTATTCTGATAAATGTGTCATAACTTTGTATTTTGTCTTTCATTGTGTTGTCAGTGATAAATTACAGAATCTTGTCGAACTGCTGCTGTGAAATGATAAATGCTGCTTGTAGAGTGCATCCCAGAAACTTAATGCTCTTCTGCTTTTTAGTTTTGAAGGTTTCTTAAATGTCACTAGAAGACTTCGATACGTGAAAACACAGTTATTTTTCAAAAAAGCATATCTGAAACTCCTTCACAGGGTATTCCACTTGGTCAAAACTGTGGGAGGAGAGAAAGGATGAAGAGCAGAAGGGATATGTTTGTGGATTACTTGCAGGTTTTTTTGCTTTTTGGCATTTGTGGACATACCTGATAGAGTAGTAAGAAGTCCTGGTTTTGTTGGAAGAAAGTGATTTTGTAGATGTACTATTTGTTATATTTGGGGATCTTGGTTTTGGTCAACACTCTGCATTGTTTCATACTCTGAAAAACTGTAAGCCCCATTACAGATTAAATTTATGTAATTTAGGTAGGCGACCAAATTCACAGGTATTTGTTTGTTTGAAGAGAATAAAAAAACCCCACTCTTCTACCCTATGGCAATTTTTGTTTATGGGGAAGAAAGGTAGATGTACCTCCTCATTTTTTAGACTTCCTTATTTTATTTGCTCATCAATTTTTTTTTTCCTCCTACCATTATTTTGCAATTAACTGTTTCTGCCCATGTCAAATATAATTTATATTATTTCCTATCTTTTCCTGGAAAATTTCTTACATGTTGTTGCTGAGCTGTTTAGATATAAAGAGCAGGAGATATACTACTGATACTCCTGCCACCCTCTGGGGAGGGGAAGAGAACAAATACTTTGTTAGTCAAAGTTGGAGCTAGCCGTCTCAACTTCACTGTAGAACATTGATCTATTGTGACATCTCACAATACTTTATCAACTTTAAACTTTGCAATATCTTCTGTGAACTCCGAAAGATACTACTAATTGCAGAGTAGAAGAAAAGCTATCAGTAAGGCTCATTCATCAGTACTAGAAATTCTGAAAGATAATTTTCTGTATAATTTCAGTACAAGACTGAGGGATATGGAAGTATGAAAACTTATATAAAGAAAATTATTTTCTTTTTATTGGCTTTGGAATTGTTGATGAATTCTTTTTTGAGCTATGTTTATTTAACTCAAGATAGAGCAGTGGCGCTCTTTAGTTGAATAACAGCTGTCAAATACTGATTATAGTATCTTTTCTATTAGACGAGCAAGTGCCGCACTCAACTGCTTAAAACATTTTCATGAGATGAAGAAAAGAGGACCTAAACCTTACAGCCTCCATTTAGATCATATTATTCAGAAAGCGATCTCAACCCACCAAAAAAGGGATCAGTACCGTGTGCAGAAAGACATCTTTATTTTAAAGGTATTACTATTATTGATTTTTCAAAACTGAATTTGATTTTGTATTTTGGAGACTTAGATCCCACTCCCCAAGCTTCACTCTCTCATTTAATTCAGAGCCATTTATGTGATTTCTTTGTAGAATTTTTTTCATTTAATTTGTCTTCTAGCTACTTGTGGATACTATATTGTATTTCTAGAAATTGAAGAGTGAAATTACAATAATTTTTAATGCTTTATAGTCCCAATTATGATCTCTTACTATTAGACTTTTAATGCAGTACTATAACCATGCAATTTACTTTCAAATGCAAAATACTATGTAGCATAGCCCTTTTAATGATTATTACATGAACAGTAAGTATATCATGTGACAAGACATGATGCAAGGAAACTTACTGTAGTTTTTTGTCTGTATTCCAGGATACAGAAGAAGCACTTGTAATGAATCTTCGAGACAGCCAAGTTCTCAATCATAAAGAGAACCTTGAGTGGAATTGGAATCTAATAGGGACCATACTGAAGGTGAGCTTAAAAAGGGTGTGCTATTATTTCTATGAAATTGTTTGAAATAGTGTCTCCATTTCACATGTGAGTTTTGACTTCCTAATATTAATTCCATACTACATCCCATAATCTGTTTTATTTCAGAAAATTAGGATCTCATGGGTTTAATCA